ACCATGCATTATAATTATTACCATTAGGATTCATATACCATTGTTGATTGTATGATTTTTCTATTATTAATATTACGACCATCGTCATAACTATTAATGTTATAATTACCTTTACCGGGCCTAAAAAATTGTTTCTATCCTTAAAACTACCCGTACAATTATTGATAGAGCCTAAATTAATTTGCCTAATTTGATCGTCTATTTCAATTTGTCTGGTTAGAGCTTCTACCTGTAATTTTAGGGCTTCTATATCGGGATTAGCATTTTTCTTACGTCTCGATACATGTTCTGCGTACTTTTTTATATTATTTTTTAGAGCCTCTAAAGTTGAATTATCCATATTTATTACATTCCAATAACCATCCATCTAAATTAGGTCCTTATTTAACCCAACTAATATATAATCAATAATCTTACTCTCTTCCATGTTTTTGTCTATCCTACGACATTCCGCTGTAACGTTCAGGACGAATTCCTGCACCGATTCGCTCTCCTGTTGTCTCCTATTCATTAGTTTCCCCCTTAATATTTCCAATTTATCCTCTGTATTATAAAATTCCAAAAAGGATTTCTTTAAAGTTTCCCACGTTAAAGTTATATTTTCAACCTCGATAAATTGAAATAATTTTTTGGCTTGGTCTCTTAAATATAATGGAAACATAATTGTCTTTTTTTTGTCATCCCAGTTGTTTGCGGCAGAAATTTTCTCAAAAGTATAAAAGTAATCTACAACATCTTCAGTTATATGCCCCAAAAATATTTGGGGTTCGCATATGTTATGACCAGCCATAATGATTAATTTTCTTGTATTAAAAATAATTACAATCGATTTTTATATTTCAATTTAGAATTTAAATGCAATTTGATACTTAATAAAAAACAAAATGTACTTTACTACAACCTGAGAGTTAATTAAAAATAGCAGGTACAATTATATGGGGTCGTGTCCGTCGCCTATTCCCTTAAAAATGTTAGGGTCCCTCCCTGAGGTAAGACTAACGAAAATCGGCGCCTCCACCAAATTGTAACGTGTCTGCTTGGCTAGGCTAGGCCGAAACGACAGTCGGTAGGGTTAAATTAGTGGACCCGAAGACGGGACGGATGGCTAGGCCGTATCTACACTTAAATATCCCTAAAGTCTCCTTTGTATAATTGCTATATCGCCTGAGGAGCTTAACAGGCGATCGTACCTCTAAATAACTTAACTCTCAAGTGTGCAACGAAACGAAAACAGGTTTATTAAATAAGTAAAGCTATGTACATATATATTACACCTCTACCTGGATCCTAAAGCGTTCTCTGTAGTTAGTCCAGGTAATGGCGGAGTTGAACGGACACACGAGTACGGGTAAAGTTAAAAGAAATATAAAATAGTAATGTAACGTGAAATAATAGGTAATAATAATGATAGGCTTTAGAATAATTAGGTCGCGGTCCGAAGATGGTAGTATGTCAACTAACTGGGCATCGGTGCCCCTGGCATTGTCCCGTATGTCTGTTGTCTCCCCTACCTATAATGGCTTACATGCTGATCGGGGTAAACTGCTAATAATGCATATTTGGAGGCGAGTGGTAACGGGCGGCTATATGTGACCGTTACAATTTAAACAGTTAAATGCAAATCGATCTACCTCAAGTGAATGAAATAGTGTGTATTATTATTGATCATAGTTGTGATTATCATATTTAATATTAATTAATTGTGATATGACCTATTACGGAAATCACACTGGTTCAAGAAATTAGAAAACTAAACATAATATATTGTGGAAATAACTATATTTTAGTTAAACGATTAAGGTAATCTAATAGCCTTTACCTAATATTGTGTTGTAAAAAAATGCATTTTTATTTATTTGCTGACAATACACAAACGTGGCCAAAATGATTGTGTTTTTTTTTAAGTCATAATATTAGACATTTTTCAAATAGATTACGCCTATTCAAACGTATAAGTTATTAATTATTCATGAATATTGTGCTCTTCTGTAAGTTATAAAAAATTAGTTGCGAATAATCCTAACCGCTTGAATCTTAAATACTCTATTTGGACAATTGACACACCCGCTTATCATAAAAATTTGTCCTTAGTAAATAAAAAAAAATATTAATACACATAAAATTTTCAGTAAAATTTCAATTTTCACGTAAATATCTATATTTGTTTTCTACATATAAATTTAGTATACACCTAAAGTTAGTTTATATTTACACATAATAATATTATAAAAGAATTACTACTTTCCAATGTTTAGAAATTGTGACATTAATTTTGAGGTTTTCTCGTTGAACTGACGTAGATGTTTAAGACGATGTCTTTAGCTAGAAAATACATAAGAAAAAAACGTTAGGACATTTATTCATTCGTGAAATGAATAAATCTTGTTAACATATATTAGAAATCGTAATAAACGCTTAAATAAAAAATATACTAAATAAAGATAGATGTTACACTACCGTCCAACTTAATAATGATTTTGATGTTCTATAAATTAGCTTTAAAAATATTTTTTTTCCAATTACGAAAAATGCATATAAACAGCTTACAACATACAACATAAACACAATCAAAGTAGATCTAATTAACTATCCCAATTTTAATTAAATTAAGATTAAAACTTTCTGTGTTCAGAAATGTGTAAATTATGTCCGAACTGCAATGTGCAAAAAATGTAATACCAATATAAGTCAGTTTTAATTATTAAGCGAAAGACATTTGATACATCTCTAGTTCTAAGTAACATTTTCCATTTCCAAACATTTCATATTTATTATAATATTATATTATTTTTTATTAACGAATAACGTCATTCTATTTAAAGTAATCTTATAGATTATACGTAGAATTGTATTGTAAAAAAAATGCATTTCTATTTATTTGCTGACAACACACAAACGTGGCCAAAACGACCGTGTTTTTCAAGTCATAATATAAGACATTTTTCAAATTGATTACGCCTATTCGAATGTATAAGTTATTAATTAGTTATGAATATTGTGCTCTTCTGTTAATTATAAACAATTAGTAGCGAATAGTTCTAACAGCTTAAATATTAAATACTCAATTTTGACAATTTACACACCCGTTGACTATAAAAAAATTGGCATTAGTAAATAAAAATATATTAAAACACAACATTTTCAGTTATAATATTTTAAGTTTATTGTAAAAATCTATATTTGTTATCTACACATACATTTATTTAGTTGCCTTTAATGTATAACACATAAAAGCTAACATAAATAGTATTACAAAAGAGTTACTACTTTGCAATATTTTGAAATTTTGACATTATTTTTGAAGTTTTATCGTTGAACTGATGTAGATGTTTAAGACGATGTCTTGAGCTAGAAAAAAAAAAAGAAAAAAACGGTAAGCATAATTTAAACATGGCAAATCACATTACATACGAGAAAGGCTTGACATAACCACATCAATCTAAAATTAAAACTATTTCTATATCTTTGAAAACATAAAGTTTTGTGATTGTGTTATAAATTATAGTATAGATAATTTAGCAAAACTTGTGGATTGCAATGTACAGTTGAGTTATATAATAAAAATATTAAAAAACATTTTTTACTGCGAACAATTTTAAATAACCGATATTTTAATAATTTCTATGCTCCAATTAACATAGTGTAGTTTGAATACCAGTGGAAATGTTAAAAAAGTTATAATAACTCATGATTTGGTAAAATTATTCAATAATAGTTATTATAGAAGGTGTACTGAAATTTCTGTAATTTTTATTTAAATAAAATCAAAAAGTAAATTATTTTTATATCATAAGGCTATAAACATTTAACTTTATTTTATTGACATTTTTAGGGCAAACCTAACAGAATTATATGTAAAGAGGTACAAATATTTACCAAATGAATTATAACAATATGTTAAATACTAAGTACACTACATTAATAAACTATTTACGATCAACAATTAACTTAAACCCAATTAAATGTTGCTTAGTTACGGTCGCAGTCATTAAGCTATTCCTTATTTAAACAGTTAATGAAATGATCATGTTTACACGTTTCAAAATTTGATAGCGCATTACTTTAACCTTTTCCTTTTATTTATAGCTGTATCCAAAGAGATACAATAACCTTATAGTATAATAATTAACAATTTTTTAAATTAATAAAAAAAATTAGATATATTTAAATTGTTTTGTTTCATATCTGACCTAACCTACTCTTTAAAAGTCATCAACATCCGAAGTTTACATATGGTACTCAAATCTAAATTAACAATATATATAGATATAATTACATTTTTTTCTTCCAATGAGTATCTATTATTTTAATACGGTAAATAAAATAGCAATTTTTTTTAAAACTTAGTGAAAAGTTAGATTTTGCCACAATAAAAAAATCGCATAAGGTCCAAACCCAATTTTTTTTTTTATTAGAAAATTATCCAATTTGTACAGTTAAAAAATTTGTATAATAAGCATATAGTTAAAGCTCGGATTTTAATGACTGCTTTGTTGATGTCGATGGATAAATAATAAACGTTCGAAATAAAGCATTTTTAGTAAAATATTTTTTTTTTATTATAAATAATTAAGTAACTAATGACTCAGTACACAGAGAGAGACTTTAAAAAATTGGCAGGGTACACAAAAGACTGAGCGGTGAGAGAACTTGACTACCCTCATTGTGGCCAACGTGTTGAAATGTCAAAATATTCAATTGAATACTTTTATTGAAGTCAGATAAACATTTTAGCTGACTTGACATAATTTAAATAACATTTTACTTAGGGTAATTATTTAAAAAGGTATTTTATTTATCAGTATAACATTGAATTATAATTATTTTGATGGTGTTTTCAAATTTAAAAGAACAGTGACAATTAAACAGTAGAAAAAATATGCAAAGCCATCATCAACATGCGAGGTTTACATATGGGTAATCAAATCCAATATAACAAAATATATATAGGATCGTAGTGCACTTTTTGAAATAAATAAATAGCGTTTTTTAATACTTACCATTTTTCAATTGAGCTTTTTCTCGGGATTCACAGGCATTAGGATTACTGGATTAAAGAATTTACCATAACACCGACAATAGTCATTGTTGGAAGATTCGCATACTCCTCGAATTTCTGAGAACGACCCACTGTACTGGCTACGGCATAGACCCCAACAATCATCCGGGTTACAATAAGCGTTCACGCCGTTGAAAGCGAACGCCAAAACCAAAAAACATACCAAAACCGCGTACTTAGAATTCATGGCGACGGAACGGTGTGAGAAACGACTTTACAATATTAATACTTGTATTTGCTTCGAATGACTTGTTCGGCGGTATCTACGCCTATTTATATTATGTAGGTTTCTCCTGAGTCATGGATATATTTTAATACACACATAGAATCAAGTTGACCTCAGTAACCCACAAGTGCAAACAGTCGGTTTATCTGTCTCGGAGTGCTGACAAATGCCTACGCATTTAATTAATGTTAAAGTGTACCACTACAAAGATCGAAAAAACTAAAAGCTTTTGGTTTTGTACTTATTTACCTCAACCGAACACGCAAATTTTCAATACATTTGAAATGGATTTTTAATTCGCAATAGATAATAGGATAGATTTGATGATGAAACAAATTCTGATATTAAAGTCCATTTGCGTAAAACGGATTTAAGAAATGATAAAAAAAAATAATTGCCAATAAATCAATAGCTTTGTTTAAAAAACTATTGTATAAAAAAAATATGCTAAGCCATCAACATCCTAAACTTACATATGGTAATCAAATTTATTATAACAAAATAGAAAAACAGGATCAATGCGCTCTTTTTGGAATAAATAATTATCGTTTTTTATTACTTACCATTTTTCAATTGAATTTGAGCTCACCAGCGTTAGGAATTAAGACTGATACATCTTTCAATTTACCATAACACCGACAATAGTCGTTGTTCGAAGATTCGCATACTCCTCAAATTTCTGTGAGTGGCCCACCATACTGGCTACGGCATAGAGCCCAACAATCATCCGGGTTGCAATAAGCGTTCACGCCGATGACAGCGAACGCCAAAACCAAAAAACATACCTAAACCGCGTACTTAGAAGAATTCATGGTGACAGAACGGTGTAAGAAACGACTTTACAGTTAATAATTGTATTTGATTCGAATGACTAGCCGGCCGGCCATTTTATATGTAGGTTTCTCCAGAGTCATGGCTATATTTTAATACACACATAGAAACAAGTTGACCTCAGTAACCTTAGAGGACGTTCAAACATTCAGTTGATCTGTCTAGAAGTGACCACGCATTTAATTCAATTAAGCGATTTTATTCAATTTTATCACTTTGATTTATAATAATTCTTGTAGACCTGTGACCTCTCCGTTTCCTCATTGCTTTGATTACATTATGCCAATACTCTACTGTAGTAGTCCTCTCGGATAAAATCACTTTCAAATTAACGCTTTGATGCTCATTTGTAAATACAGAATCTTCATTTAAAACTTTCTAACTTTGCTGGTTTATACTGTGCTTGGTTTGGACTGTACTGGCTTGAAAATACTAACTACCGATTTGCATCGAAGCGTTTTTCGAAAGCGATTTTATCACTTTCAGATTTAAAAATTCCTGTGAACCTGTGACCTCCCCGTCCCCAATATGCCCCGACCCAAATATGCTCCGTCCCCTTATGCACCGACCCCACTGTACTGTTTTTTTTTCCTTTTTGACAGAATCTTGTAGTCTTTTACGAGTGGCTTCTAAATTCCTCTTCTTCACGTCAGGATTTTCCTACCGTTTTTTCATATTTTTTAACATTATGATATTGTGATGTAATGTTTTTGCAGGATTTAAATGTACAACTCCTTTTCTTTACTTATCTTTTTCTCTTTCATCAGCGCAATATTCTTTGTTTCCTCTTAAATCCCGTATATGTTGAAGGCTTTTATGGGCTCGTTTACTTTTCCTCCCCATGTTAACATAATGAATTTAAAAAAAAATATGCCTAAAATAAAAAATTAAAAAATTAACTATGACACATGAAATACAACTCTAGACGTCAAACAACTTTATTACACCACATAACAATATGATTAATCCATATACACAACAATTTCCATGTATTTATAAAGCACATATATTAGATTAATAGAAGTCCTGACATTATTATTGTAATTTTCTTGACTTAAATACACATTTTTATAGTGATGCAAATAGTTTTTTTAACGTCATCATAAACATGTCTATAAAAATTCAAATACATACCCATTTATAATAGAAGCATACCGTCAGACATAATTTATGATAGTATTAATAACAATAATTGCAGGTATATAACAAAGTTATCATAACAAAAAGTTGCACACGGGTATAGATGAAAAGATTACATAAATGTTAATATTTACCTGTAACATTTAAAAAACAACAACAACTTATTACATAGATTCATTTCTTTAATGTCAAGTAATCCTCCAAAAAATTACAGTCCACAAAAGTACCTTTTTTTGTAAATTTCTTAAATGAAACTATTCTTTCAATAATATTAAACATAGCACTGTTATTTATAAAAACCAAAAGCTCAAAAAAATGACAAAAACACTACTGAGTTATAAATCTTAGTAATGTAAACAAAAAAAAATCATTAAATCATACAAATTTGTTTGAAATATTAAAAAATAGTATCTGGAAAATTGCATTTTACATTGACTAATAATATACAATATGTAACTGTAATGTAATGCATAAAGATAACAATTAGAGACGATGTGCAATAACCTCTATATTTCAACCATGTTATTACCTACACTGTGTACGTATAAACATTCAGTTTTGAGGTTTAATACGTTACTTCCCTAACCTATACCTAGCATACAAGACATAAATCATGACAGATGTTTCTAACACCAACTTAGTTCTGACTTCTGTCATAAGGTAACATCATCACGAAATGGCTGCAAATTAAAATTAAATTGGTTACTTAAATTAAATTCAGTCATTCCGCAAAAAGTTCAAGTCCAAATCGATTTTATATCAACTGTGACTTAATAAAATCCATACCCAGTTAGTTATATTCTGTTGACAAATTGTTTTTTATTAAATAATAAAAATTGATAAAATAAACATCAACTACGTCATAAAAGTTAAGATAGTAGCAGATGCTATCGGTAGTGTAACATCTATCTTTATTTAGTATATTTTTTATTTAAGCGTTTATTACGATTTCTAATATATGTTAACAAGATTTATTCATTTCACGAATGAATAAATCTCCTAACGTTTTTTTCTTATGTATTTTCTAGCTAAAGACATCGTCTTAAACATCTACGTCAGTTCAACGAGAAAACCTCAAAATTAATGTCACAATTTCTAAACATTGGAAAGTAGTAATTCTTTTATAATATTATTATGTGTAAATATAAACTAACTTTAGGTGTATACTAAATTTATATGTAGAAAACAAATATAGATATTTACGTGAAAATTGAAATTTTACTGAAAATTTTATGTGTATTAATATTTTTTTTTATTTACTAAGGACAAATTTTTATGATAAGCGGGTGTGTCAATTGTCCAAATAGAGTATTTAAGATTCAAGCGGTTAGGATTATTCGCAACTAATTTTTTATAACTTACAGAAGAGCACAATATTCATGAATAATTAATAACTTATACGTTTGAATAGGCGTAATCTATTTGAAAAATGTCTAATATTATGACTTAAAAAAAACACAATCATTTTGGCCACGTTTGTGTATTGTCAGCAAATAAATAAAAATGCATTTTTTTACAACACAATATTAGGTAAAGGCTATTAGATTACCTTAATCGTTTAACTAAAATATAGTTATTTCCACAATATATTATGTTTAGTTTTCTAATTTCTTGAACCAGTGTGATTTCCGTAATAGGTCATATCACAATTAATTAATATTAAATATGATAATCACAACTATGATCAATAATAATACACACTATTTCATTCACTTGAGGTAGATCGATTTGCATTTAACTGTTTAAATGAATTAATCCAGTATTAATTATCATATTTTTACTTTTTTTTTAATAAGATTCATACATGCAGTAATATTGTCCATACATAATAATACTAACTAAATATATATATTTTCTGAATTTAAAAGACATATACAATTTTTCACTTAAACTATTTTTTTTTCAAATAACTTTTTAATATAAATACAATTTTGTTTTACAAAAAGAATTTGAGAAAAATTCAGATCACTTTTTATAAATACATTATGAAAAAAAAAATGAAATTTCTTATTAAATCCTATGAGATATTAAGTGGTTCACCATAAAATAGTCACTCTGTATACGTTCAGTGTTAATTTTATATCGAGTTTGAAAATCAATTCACCTTGTCTATTAAGTTAAATCGTTATCACACGTAAAAGTGTTATCACAAAAATAATATTTAAAAAAAAGTTGTGCACGTTGTAATGTGCCTGGGGACTAAAAGGTTTAAATTAAAAAAACAAATTTCCAATCAGTGAGGAAACGTAATCTAAATGTTTATTCCCCTTAAGGTTTCCATCAATAATAACATCTAAATATTACATACTTGATGTTTTATATATAACACAATTGTTATGGTTTGTAGTGTCAAGTTATAACGTTGGCGTTCGTGTAGGAACCTATAATGCCCGACCAACTTGTTTTACTATTAATCGTAGTCGAGAATCCCAACGGTTAAAAAAAATTATAATCCAAAAGGTAGAATTTGAAGGGAACGGGATGCTAAGATAGTTTTTCCGAAAAATAGTATTATTGTATTGATTAGTAGTAAAAATATAAAAAAAAACTGAAATTCTTCCACCCTTGACTATTTACCGTCGTAATGAATACCGAGTATAAGCACAAAATAATATGTATATCATACACAAATAAAAAAGTATTGTTTTTTTTGGTTCTGTATAAAAAAAAAAAAATGGTGATCATTTTATCTTGAACCACTCTATATCTCATAGGGTTTAATAAGAAATTAAATTTTTTTTTTTTACTAAGTTTTTATACAATTTGATCTAAATTTTTCCAAGTTTTGTTTTGGTTTTTACCCCCCCCCCCTACTTAGTTCTTTTGGTAGCAAATTTTGAAACATAAATGGTAACGCATAAATTTCATTGACTTTTTTAATTGAGAACTATGTACTAAATACTTTGACTAGTTGATAACCAGTTTTGAACAAATATTTTTAAAGTTATACGAGTTTAAAAATTACGATGGGAGGGGAAGAGCGCGCAGATAAGTGTAATACTACACTCTAACTTTCCACCTGCTCTAAACTTGAAACTTCAATAATTTTAAAAAGAGTTATCCAAAACTGTTTGTTGACCAGTCAACAATTTTAGTACATTTTTTATTTGGGAAATGGGTAAAAAGAAAAAACAAATGTGAACAATTTAGAGATCATATTATTGTATGAAAATATTATGAAAATAAAATAAAATTTCTTCTTCCGTTTGTCGGATCGACAGGAGCACAACTGGACGTTTAATGTACATTTTTAGTATCAATATTAGATTACAAAAGTCAAAAGCCCTAAATTTCGGTATTTTAGTACGAGGTGTTTAATGATTTAAGAAAGGATGTTTTACTCTCCCAAGTGGTTGTGTACAGAGAAGATGTTCAACTAAAAAAAAAAAAAAAATTGTTTTATCAATATTTTGAGTAAAAGTTCAGTAACGAATGAAGAAATTTTGTCGTAACAAGTTTTAATATTACTATAATATTGTTATGATGTGTGAGTGGGTATGTGCACGCAGAATTTAGACTATTGTCTAAAAAATTTGTATTCATAAAACTTTAATCAAAACATACATTTTAGTTAAACTTTTATTTTTTTCATCTAAAATAAAAGTTATCTTTACAAAAAAATTCAATTATGATGCAAGATCGTTATTATTTGACTGCTCAGTACTCAAAAAAAGTCTCTTCAACTCTACTTATATTAAATTAATATTATATCATCATTTGAAATTTAAATTTTTAAAATATTTTAAAATATTTTAAATGCATAGGGGTCATTCCACGTGAAATCACTTAATGGGTGTGCGACTATACTTCAAAAATGTTCATGTCATACATTCTTTATAGGTCCTTAATGACTCTGTAATTTAACCGTCGATAGTGGTATAGACATGCACAGTTAACATTTTAATTAGGTGTATTTTAACCATATTAAACAAATTATGTGATTCTATTTTCTAACCACATTTTTTTATAATTTTTAACCCTGACCAATTTATTATTTTTTTGAATTTTTCAAAAACTCTTTTAGGGCCAAAAAGTTAAAAATTATAACCAAATAATTTATTCATATAAAATTTAAGTTATGTTATTTTGACCACTATCATCTTTGAACCAATCAATTTTTTTTTGTTTTTAATTTATGGCTTCAAACATGGGTATTTTACAGAAATCTTGCTTACCTAATTTAATGACCCAAAACACAAAATGTGACTGAACGAAAATTTTCCAAATTTATGCAATACTTACTTATAAGTGAGTAGAACATTTGGTAAAAGTTTGGTGATAGAGTAATTATTTTATTACCAGTTATAAAGTTTCAAAATTTTTTTAAAAAATTTTGTTGTCATTAAGGACCTACAAAAAATGTATGTTAAAAATGTCAAACAATTTTTAAGTATAGTCGCACACCCACTACGTGGAATGACCCATAGTATAGTAAATTTATTATTAAGTTATATGTTACATTTATTATTAATAAAAACATAAAAGCCTAATACTTTTTTCATTAAGCTTATGCATAAAAATGGTTTATAATAACTGTTAAATAAAAACTTTTATAAATCCAGTTAGATAATAAAAGTTATGAAAATAACAGTTTTGAATTAACTTTTATCGAAAAAAGTAAAGGTTAAAAAAAATTTTTTATATGTCAACATGAATAAGTAAAAGTTAAATTTATGTATAAAGTACTGACTGCGCACTCGACATTACGGTGTAGAATGTTATCAAAACCATCTATTTGAGGAGCATGAACCTAATATTATGTATTTTCTTAATAAATACCTTAGTGATTTAACTTAATACTTGTTTAGCTTAAATAATTATTTCACAAAGAAATATTTGCTATTAAGTAAATGTTTAATCGACTTGTTTGAGGTTGGTTAACTGAAGATACATAGAGCAACCAGATATCTATCTTATACAGATATAGATATAGATCAAGGTACGAATGTATGTAATAAAAGCAAACCCTGTATTTCTTTCCACTCGTGAAAAGCTGGTTTAATAATTTTATCACTTGTAATAAATTATAATAAAATATCAAATGTATTATAGTGATTAAAAAAGAACATAATGTATGGTTTAGAAACGACACGTAGTTAAAATAAATCAACTCAATATTAATAATTAGATTATCATTTTTTATTTGTTTCTTAATCTTATTATTCTAAGTACAGCAAACTTGGCATTTTTTTTAATAGGAACAAAAAAAAATACAGGGTGTTAATTTTATGGTGAACCACTCGTGTATCATAGGGTTTAATAAGAAATTTAATTTTTTTCCATAATGATGTCAGTACCAATTAATTAAACATTTTATTATTTACTTTTTACTCCTTTTTAATTTATGTATAAAATGTGTAATAATATTATATACTTATACAATTGTGTCCCTATAGTGAAAGTTCAATAGTTGTTTTTTATTAGTATTTTAAAGGATTTTTTACTTTTGTTATAACCGCACGTATAAAAATAGACAATGTTTTGGGCAAACGAGTACAATAACAAATGTCAACCAAAGGTTGGGTACTACCTATTCACAAAACTATAAACACGTCCTAAAAAGATAAATTTTTAGTTATTATTCCGAATAAACTCAATTAATTTGTATTTAAACTTCATAGATTTTATAAACGCGTGCAATAATTGTTTAAACAGAGATATGGATTTATTAGCAAACGCGCAAAACGTTTCAAAACCAAAAACTTATTTATTTTAGCTTCGGTGCAAAGCGAGCAGGTATTGGTTTTACTCTGATGTGTGTTTTTTTTTATCTGTATACACTGTAACTTTTTTAATACTGGACCAATTCCTTCGAATAGCAACTCTATAGATCGCAATTTTCATCTAGTTGGTACTTTGAACGGGGGTAAAAGTTGAAAAAGTTTAATTCTTCACAGACGAAAGTTGAAAAAACAAAAAAAAAACCGTACGAGTTTTTAAGTTAGAACTTTTACTGGCTATAGCTTCGAGAAAATGAGTCGGATCGAGTTGAAATTTATAAGAAATATTTATTTGGTATGCCCGCGCACGTCAGTTGTATCAAATTGAAATTTTACCCAATGCCCACCCCCCTAAGGGGGGTACAAGTTTTTTTGTTTTTCGGGGTTTTTAGCCATAATTTTAAAACCTTTGGGTTGAAAATTTGCCAGTAGTTGGAACTCATATGTATCCATAACATATTAAACGGAAAAAAAATTCGGCACTATAGTTTTTTTTTAATTGCCGGAAAACTGTGTTTTCGCAGATTGCGTATATTTTATCAAAAAACACTTAAAATCTTAAAGAAATTGTTATCAAATCATTAAAACAATTTTATTTATATCTATGCAGAATGATATATTAAGTTTTGTGCTCAAGTAACACTTTTGACTTTAGGTTTACACAAAGTTCAATTTTTTTAAGTACAAACGCGCTCTACTAGATGTGAGAAACGAAAAAAAAAAGTATCATTTTTTGTTCTATTGGCATCATCGTGTGTACGAACGGCGTATTGTTGCGCGCTCTTATCTGCTACTAATCAGTGCTAATAATTTTTCAAATTGATTACGCCTATTCGAATGTATAAGTTATTAATTAGTTATGAATATTGTGCTCTTCTGTTAATTATAAAAAATTATTAGCGAATAGTTCTAACAGCTTAAATATTAAATACTCAATTTTGACAATTTACACACCCGTTGACTATAAAAAAATTGGCATTAGTAAATAAAAATATATTAAAACACAACATTTTCAGTTATAATATTTTAAGTTTATTGTAAAAATCTATATTTGTTATCTACACATACATTTATTTAGTTGCCTTTAATGTAAAACACATAAAAGCTAACATAAATAGTATTACAAAAGAGTTACTACTTTGCAATGTTTTGAAATTTTGACATTATTTTTGAAGTTTTATCGTTGAACTGATGTAGATGTTTAAGACGATGTCTTGAGCTGGAAAAAAAAAAAGAAAAAAACGGTAAGCATAATTTAAACATGGCAAATCACATTACATACGAGAAAGGCTTGACATAACCACATCAATCTAAAATAAAAACTATTTCTATATCTTTGAAAACATAAAGTTTTGTGATTGTGTTATAAATTATAGTATAGATAATTTAGCAAAACTTGTGGATTGCAATGTACAGTTGAGTTATATAATAAAAATATTAAAAAACATTTTTTACTGCGAACAATTTTAAATAACCGATATTTTAATAATTTCTATGCTCCAATTAACATAGTGTAGTTTGAATACCAGTGGAAATGGCAAAAAAGTTATAATAACTCATGATTTGGTAAAATTATTTAATAATAGTTATTATAGAAAGTGTACTGAAATTTCTGTAATTTTTTTTAAAATAAAAACAAAAAGTAAATTATTTTTATATCATAAGGCTATAAACATTTAACTTTATTTTATTGACATTTTTAGGGCAAACCTAACAGAATTATATGTAAAGAGGTACAAATATTTACCAAATTAATTATAACAATATGTTAAATACTAAGTACACTACATTAATAAACTATTTACGATCAACAATTAACTTAAACCCAATTAATTGTTGCTTAGTTACGGTCGCAGTCATTAAGTTATTCCTTATTTAAACAGTTAATGAAATGATCATGTTTACAAGTTTCAAAATTTGATAGCGCATTACTTTAACCTTTTCCTTTTATTTATAGCTGTATCCAAAGAGATACAATAACCTTATAGTATAATAATTAACAATTTTTAAAATTAATAAAAAAAATAGATATATTTAAATTGTTTTGTTTCATATCTAACCTAACCTACTCTTTAAAAGTCATCAACATCCGAAGTTTACATATGGTACTCAAATCCAAATTAACAATATATATAGATATAATTACATTTTTTTCTTCCAATGAGTATCTATTATTTTAATACGGTAAATAAAATAGCAATTTTTTTTAAAACTTAGTGAAAAGTTAGATTTTGCCACAATAAAAAAATCGCATAAGGTCCAAACCCAATTTTTTTTTATTAGAAAATTATCCAATTTGTACAGTTAAAAAATTTGTATAATAAGCATATAGTTAAAGCTCGGATGTTAATGACTGCTTTGTTGATGTTGATGGATAAATAATAAACGTTCGAAATAAAGTATTTTTAGTAAAATATTTTTTTTTTTATTATAAATAATGAAGTAACTAATGACTCAGTACACAGAGAGAGACTTTAAAAAATTGGCAGGGTACACAATAAGCTTGAGCGGTGAGAGAACTTGACTACCCTCATTGTTGCCAACGTGTTGAAATGTCAAAATATTCAATTGAATACTTTTATTGAAGTCAGATAAACATTTTAGCTGACTTGACATAATTTAAATAACATTTTACTTAGGGTAATTATTTAAAAAGGTATTTTATTTATCAGTATAACATTGAATTATAATTATTTTGATGGTGTTTTCAAATTTAAAAGAACAGTGACGATTAAACAGTAGAAGGAATATGCAAAGCCATCAACATCCAATAATCAAATTCAATATAACAAAATATATATAGGAACGTAGTGCAAATTTTGGAATAAATAAATAGCGTTTTTTAATACTTGCCATTTTTCAATTGATCTTTTCCTCGGGACCCATAGGAAAAGCATAAAATGTTTGTGGACCTATGGGTTTACCATAACACCGACAATAATCATTGTTGGAAGATTCGCATACTCCTCGAATTCCTGTGTACCCCGCACCGTACTGGCTACGGCAAAGAGCCTCACAATCCCACGGAACGCAATAAGCGTTCACGCTGTTGAAAGCGAACGCCAAAACCAAAAAACATACCAAAACCGCGTACTTAGAATTCATGGCGGCGGAACGGTGTGAGAAACGACTTTACAATAGTAATAATAACTGTATGTACTTCGAATGACTTCCCTGCCGTACCTATGCCTATTTATATGTAGGTTTCTCCTGAGTCATGGATATATTTTAATACACGCATAGATCAAGTTGACCTCACTAACATCATTAGACGTGCATATAGTGGGTTTATCTGTCTAGGAGTGCTGGCAAATGCCTACGCATTTATTTTAATTAAATAAAACCGAATGTCTTAAGTATTTCGTTTTGAAATTTTTTGCGCGTTTTGCTAATAATAAATCAATACCTTTGTTTAAACAATTATTGCACGTGAGTATAAAATGTATGACGTTTATAAAAAATATTAATTAGTTCAAAGAAAATTCCAAAAAAAAAAAAAATTGGCCAGGGTTAAAAACAGCCAATTTTTTTTAATTTGTATAGGACACAGAATCCCATCATTTTTTCAAAAATATGGTTAATGAACCCTTAATTAAAATTTTAACTGTGCAGTTTTCATGCCTATATCACTAATCTAAGTTGGTCGATTGACATTTTAGATTTCCACACAAACGTGTACATTATAATAACTTAAAATATCATACTATGACTAAAGATACATTCTTAGTTTCTTTCTCTGAGTATAAACGGCAAATAATTTAATTAGGAGATAAGCATGATCCACTTGAGTGATTGTTATAACACTATAGACCATAACAAGTGCATTAAACATAAACCATCAACAAGTCTGAAATATATTAATGTTATTATTGATAAAAATCTAAAAGGGAATGAACATTTAGATTACATTTCCTGACTTATTCAATACTTGTTTTTTTAAATTTAAATCATTCAAATATGTATTAAATATAAATAATCTAAAAATAGTATATTCGTGAAAGAAATAAATCTTGTTAATATTAATCAAAAACGTGGTAAACGCTTATATAAAAAAATATACTAAATATATATATATAAGTCAGCTTAAAATATTAAGCAAAAAATAATTAATTAGTTATGCACAATCTCTAGTTCTAAGTAACATGTTCCATTTAGTAAGTAGGTAAATTTTTGTTTTTTAGTAAATTAGGTCGTTTATTTATATGCTTAAACTTTTTTTTATAATCTATAATTTTTATAATTCCTATGTTGTTAATATTATAATCTAGATATTGAACTCACCGTCCCCTATACAAGCTATGCATATTGAAGAGGTCTGAGGTATAATTTTGTCTCGATAAAATGATATTTTCTTACAATGTATGTTATTGACAAGCGTAAAATTGTAAAAGACTACAAGTATCAAGTAAATACACATGTTAAGCAAACAGCTCATTTCGTTCCGCTACCATCCATTATCTGTGAATTTTCACTTACAGAAACTGTAAAATATTTGTAAATCTTAATCAGCGAACCAGTTCTTACTTAGATTTGTTGTTTTACTAAATCACTGTTTTTTTTTTATAACAACTTCGATTGTGTTACGGCCTATGATGGAAATCACACTGGTTACAAGAAATTATACTAAAAATAGATTATACTATTTTTTTTTTTTTTGAACGATTAACGTTATTCTATTTAAAGTAATCTTATAGCCATCATTAAGTCATAATATTTGATATTTTCTAAATTAATTACTTCAATTCAAACGTATAAGTTATTAATCGCTTATGAATATTTTGCTCTTCTGTTAATTGTAATAATTAGTAGTGAATACTCTACTTTGATAATTTACACACCCGTTGACTATAATAATTTGTCCTTAGTAAATAAAAAAATATTAAAACAAATAACATATTTTTCAGTAAAATTTGAGTTTATTGTAAGTATCATTACTTTTTATCTACACATAACTTTATTTAGTTACCTCCAATGTGTAACTCAATAAAGAAAACTATAAAGTATTACAAAAAATTACTACATTCCAATGTTTAGAAATTGTAACATTAGTTTTGAGATTTTCTCGTTGAAGAAGATGCTTAAGACGATATCTTGAGCTGGAAAATACAAAAGAAAAAAAAACGGTAAGTATAATTTTAACATGACAAATCAAATTACATTCGACATAATCACATCAATCTAAAATGAAAACTATTTCTGTATCTTTTGAAAATAAAAAGTTTTGTTATTGTGTTATAAATTATAGTATAGATAATTTAGCAAAACTTGTGGATTGCAATGTACAGTTGAGTCATATAATAAAAATATTAAAAAACATTTTTTACTGCGAACAATTTTAAATAACCGGTATTTTAATATTTTCTATGCTCCAATTCACATAGTGTAGTTTGAATACCAGTGGAAATGGTAGGTTTCCAACTATTTAGTTAGAAAACTAAATAGTATTACAAAAGAAAAACTACTTTCTAAGAAATTGTGACATTAATTTTGAGATTTTCACGTTGAACTGACCAAGGTGTTAAAGACGATGTCTTAAGCTAAAAAATACAAAAAAACAAAAACAGTCGATTACAATGTACAATTGAGTGGTATTATAAAAATTATAAAATACACCCTTTTGGGCAAACCTAACAGAATTATATGTGAATAAATACAAATATTTACAAAATAGTTATAACAATATGTTAAATACTAAGTACGCCATATTAATAAATTATTTACGATGGTTAATTAACTAAAACCCAATTAATTATTGCTTAATTACGGTCGTAATGATTAAATTATTCCTTATTTAAAAAGTTAATTTTACGATTCAGTTTACAAGTTTCTAAGGTTGATAGCGCATTACATTACTCTATTCTTTTTTTTTTTAAAAAGCTGTATTCAAAAAGACACAATTCCCTTTTAGTAAAACACTAAAAATACTAAAACTATTACAAATTAGATATATTTAATTTTTTTTGTTCCAATGGGTATTTATTATTTTAATACGGTAAATAAAATAGCAATTTTTTTTTAAAAGGGTATTTTATGTATCAGGATAAAATTTAATTTTACTCATTTTGATGATGTTTTAAACAACAAATTTAAACATCAAGTTTAAAACAACAATGACGATTAATCAGTAAGAAAAAATGCAAAGCCATCAACATCCGAGGCTTACATATGGTAATCAAATCCAAAATAACAAAATATATATATATAGGACCGTTGCGCTCTTTTTGTAATGAATAAATATCGTTTTTTATTACTTACCATTTTCAATTGAGTGTTCGCTCGGGACCTATGGGATAGAAAAATTGTGGATGTACGGGTTTACCGTAACACCGACAATAGTCATTGTTCGAAGATTCGCATACTCCTCGAGTTTCTCCGAACACCACCCCACTGTACTGGCCTCGGCATAGACCCCAACAATCATCCGGGTTACAATAAGCATTCACGCCGTTGAAAGCGAACGCCAAAACCAAAAAACAAACCAAAACCGCGTACTTAGAAGAATTCATGGCGACGGAACGGTGTGAGAAACGACTTTACAATAGTAATAATAACTGTATTTACTTCGAATGACTTGCCGGCCGTACCTAAGCCTATTTATATTGTGTAGGTTTCTCCCGAGTCATGGATATATTTTAATACACACTTAAAATCAAGTTGACCTAAGTAACCTCATTAGACGTGCATATAGTTAGATTATCTGTCAAGGAGTGCTGACAAATGCCTACGCTTTTAATTTAATTTAACAAAACCTAAGGTTTAAAGTATTTCGTTTTGAAATCTTTTGCGCGTTTGCTAATAATAAATCAATACCTTTGTTGAAACAATTATTGCACGCGAGTATAAATTGTATGACGTTTATAAAACAAATTGATTGAGTTACATCGGAGTACTACTAAAAATGTATCTTTTTAGAACGTGTATATGTAGGGTTTTGTGAATAGTAACCAAGAGTTGATGATTATTATTGTACTCTCTTGCCCAAAATATTGTCAACTTTTATACGTACAGTTATAACAAAAGATTTTAAATCTTCTGAAATACTGAAAAAAAATAACTATTAAACTTCCATTAGGGTATTAGGTATACATGTTTTTTGTGTATTTAATACAGCGTTTTGTGAAACATACAAACAGTGATTAAATATAATTAACATGTAGGTTATAGGTATGTATTGTGTTATTTATATTTTGTAGGTAATTAAAACGAAGCAGATCTAGAAAAATCTAATACTCGTTGCGTGAGCATTTATAAAATATATGATTTTGATAACATTCTGTGCCGTTATGTTGTTTGCGTAGTTAGGTACTTAATACACATTTTTTGGATGCATTAAAAAGGTATAAAAATAAAAAATAAATAATATGTTTAATATATTGGTGCTGACATGGGCTTGTATCTATTATTGTATTTATTGTGTGTATAATAAATCAATCTAGTCCAATCTGGTCTAGTCTGAATTTCTGCGTGCATACAAGCACAAAACATCATAACATTATTATAATAAAATTAAAACCTGTCACGTTATATTAACTTCATTCGTTACTAAACTTTTACTCAAAATATTGATCAAACAAATTTTTTTTTTTAGTTGAACATCTTTAGGCACACGCAATTCTTGGGAGAGTAAACTTTCTTCAATAAATAATTTATAACCTCGTACTAAGTATTGAATTTTAGGGCTTCTGACTTTTGTAATCTAATATTGGTACTGACAATGTACATTAAACGTCCAGTTGTGTTGACATATAATCTAAATTTTTCACAATTTTTTTTTTATCTCTTTATCAAATAAATAATGTACTAAAATTGTAGACTGGTCGATAAACAGTTTTGGATAACTATGTTTGAAGTTATTGAAATTTCAAGTTCAGAGCAGGAGGAAAGGTCAAATGTAGTACCTATTATATATTTTGTCTGCGCACACTTCCCAACCGCACTTCTCCTTTCATCCAAACTTTTAAACTCGTATAACTTTAAAACTAGCTGGTTTCATTGGCTGGTCACAATTGTAGTACATTTTTGGCAATATTAAATGTTAATATAATTTTTGCGTTACCACTTAAGTTTCAAAAGTTGCTATCAAAAAAACTAAGTTATAAGGGTAAAAAAAAACTTGGAAAAATTGAGATCACATTGTACAAAAACATAATGAAAAAAAATTAAATTTCTTATTGAACCCTATGAGATATGGAGTGGCTCAAGATAAAATGATTAACCTGTACAAATACTGAGTGAACCACCTAACGTAAGGCACTCATTTTCTCTGAAAATATGAATATTTTGCGGAAATTATTTTTTCTTAACTTTTAGGTACATATTTTACTACATTCTTCAATATTTTCAAAATGTGTATCACCAATCCTTATAATTTTTACTACATAAATTTGTAGACAAAATATACAAAAATTTATTAGCGTATGAATTTTGAATTTTGATTTATTAGTTCATTTGTTATGACTTATGACTTTATAAAAATTTGATTTTTTTTTATTGAATTTCTTAATATTTTCAATTGTTACTACAATGACGAGTAGTTTTATTACATTGCTTGAAAAAAATTTGGGGTGTTAAAGAACTCTGTATCATAAACATATTTAATAAATAACCTGTAACCTAAGTAATTGGTAGATAAGAACCGTTTGTCTATAATTATTTTTAAATATTTTATAGAGACTTCCTAGTTGTTAGAATGTTATCGCCAATTGGACATTGCGAACATGTTCTTAATATAAAAGACCTTTAAACTTTAAATTGTTTTCCAATTACTAAAAATGCATATCAACAGCTTACAACACACAACATGAACCCAATCATAGTAGAGTTTAATAATTATCAAATTCCAATTCAATTAATTTTAGTTAATTTTAGTTCAGAATTTCTTTTATAATTTTTGTTGACTGAGTATACTGTAATATATAATAACGAATTACACATTTGATGAGGAACTTTTTTATTATTATTATTATTGAATATTTAGAAAACAATAGAAAAGACAACTTCGAGAACTCTTTATTAGGTAAGTAGAAGTTATTTTATGTAGGTCAATTAGGTAAAAAGGAATGGCATAGGTTCAAATATCATAATTTATTGTATTTTGTAATTTAGATAATATTATTATGTCTTGCCTGTTCTGAGTAAAACAATGGAAATAATTCTTATCACTCTATATAAACAGCTTACAACATAAACCCAATCATAGTAGATCTAAATAATTATCAAATTCCAATTCGATAAAGTTTAAAACTCTCTGTGTTCAGAAAATTGTAAATTTTGTCGGATCTGCATTGTGCAGAAAATTTAATACCAATATAAGTCAGCTTAAGATATTAAGCGAAAAGTAATTAATTAGTTTTGTACAGTTTCTAGTTCTAACTAACATTTTCCATTTAGTAAATTTGATGTTTTATCGTTTTACTTATTAACTTTTTTGTTTTTATTTTTAGTAAATTAGATCGTTTATTTGAATGTTTACACTTTTTTTATAATTGATCATTTTTATATTTCATATGATGTTATTATTATAATCTAAATAATGAAATCACCGTCCTTTAACACAAGCTATGCATATTGAAGAGGTCAAAAGGTGTCATTTTGTCTCATTAATATGATATTTTCTTAATATGTATGTTAAACTATTATTATTATAAGTATTATGTAGAAGCACTAGAAGTATTAATTAAGTTCACATGTTAATCAAACTGCTCATTTACATTATATTGGTTCCGCTACCGTTGATTATCTATGAATTTGTACTTCAAAAATATGTAAAATATTTGTACACTTTAGTCAGTGAACCACAATTTACTACAATTTTTGTGTTTTACTAGATTTGTCATAATATTTTACATTTTCCAAATTGACTACGCCAATTCGAACTTACAAGTTATTAATTATTTTTGAACATTGTGCTCTTCTGTTAATTATAAAATATTAGTCTTGAACAATCTTAGCCGTTTGTATCATAAAATACTCTATTTTGACAATTTCCCCACCTGTTGACTATAATAATTTGTCCTTAGTAAATAAAACAAATGATTAAAACACATTAAACTTTTATTAAAATGTCGAGTTTATTGTAAAAATCATTATTTATTATCTACACATAACTTTATTTAGTTAACTTCAATGTGCAACTCATTAAAGGTAACTGAATAGTATTACAAAAGAAATACTATATTCCAATGTTTTGAAATTGTGACATTAATTTTCATTTTTCTTGTTGAATTGACGTAGATGTTTAAGAAGATATCTTGAGCTGGAAAATGCAAAAGAAAAAAACGGTAAGAATAATTTTAACATGGCAAATCACATTACATACAAAAAAAACTCGACATAACCTCATCAATCTAAAATTAAAAATATTTCTGTTTTTTTGAAAACAAAAAGTTTTGGTATTGTGTTTTTAGTTATAGTATGGATAACTCGGCAAAACTTTTGGATTGCAATGTACAGTTGAGTCATATAATACAAATGTTAAAAAACACCCTAAACTACAAAACATTTGGAAAGACCGAAATTTAATTATTTTTTATGCTCTAACTACTCACATAGTGTAATTTGAATGTCATTGAAAATGGTAAAAAAAGTTACATTAACTCATGATTTTGTAAAACCATTCAATAATGGATAATATCGGAAATTAACTAATTTATCTGTCATTTTTTTAAGTAAAAAGCAAAAAGTACACTGTTTCCATTTCATAAGGCTATAAGCATTTAATTATATTTTATTTACACCCTTTAGGGCAAACCTAATAGAGTTGTATGTGAATAAATACAAAAATTTACAAAATTAATTATAACAATACGTTAAATACTAAGTACACTATATTAATAAATTATTTACGATCATTAACTAACTTAAACCCAATTAACTATTACTTAGTTAAAGTTGTAATGATTAATTAATTTCTTATTTAAAAAGTGCTTTACATTACCCTTTTCCTTTTTTTTTAAAAGTTTTATCCAAAAAGATACCATGCCCTAATAGTAAAATACTTAATTTGATATAATTCATTTTTTTTGTTCAGATGGGTATTTATTATTTTATTACGGTAAATAAATTAGCGATTTTTTTAAAGCCTAGTGAAAACTGAGATTTTGCAACAAATCGCTTATGTTTTGCATCTTATGCCAAATTCTTTTTAATAGAAAATTATCCAAATTGTACAGTTAAAAAATGTGTACATAAGCATAAAAATAAAACTCGGATGTTAATGACCGATTTGTTTATGTTGATGGATTAAAAATAAACGTTCAAAATAAAGCATTTTTAATCTTAGAATTTGTTTTGTATCATCAATAATTAACTTACTATTGACTACGTACACAGAGGGAGACTTTAAAAAATTGGCATGATACACAAAAGCTTGAGCGATGAGAGAACCTGAGTACCAACCCTAATGGTAGCCAACGTGTTAAAATATCAAAATATGCAATTATACACTTTTATTGAAGTCGGCTAAACATTTTGGCGGACTTGACATAATTTAAATAACATTTTACATAGGATAATTATTTAAAAAGGTATTCATGTAATAAAACAGTAAAAAAAATATGCAAAGCCATCAACATCCGAGGTTTACATATGGTAATCAAATTCAATATAACAAAATAGCAAATTCTCTATTTTGAATAAATAAATAGCGTTTTTTTATTACTTACCATTTTTCAATTAAGTTTTTGCTCGGGACCGATGTTATTGAAGAATTGTGGACCTACGGGTTTACCATAACACCGACAATAGTCATTGTTCGAAGATTCGCATACTCCTCGAATTACTCCGAACACCTCACCGTACTGGCTACGGCAATAACCCCAACAATCATCCAGTTTGCAAAAAGCGTTCACGCCGTTGAAAGCAAACGCAAAAACCAAAAAACAAACCAAAACCGCGTACTTAGAATTCATGGCGACGGAACCGTGTGAGAAACGACTTTACAATAGTAATAATAATTGTATTTACTTCGAATGACTTGCCGGCCGTACCTAAGCCTATTTATATTGTGTAGGTTTCTCCCGAGTCATTGATATATTTTAATACACACTTAAAATCAAGTTGACCTCAGTAACCTTATTAGACGTTCAAACAATCGGATTATCTGTAAAGGAGTGCAGAAAAATGCCTACGCATTTATTTTAATTAAATAAAACCTAATGTTTTAAGTATTTCGTTTCGAAATCTTTTGCGCGTTTGCTAATAATAAATCAATACTTTTGTTGAAACAATTATTGCACGCGAGTATAAATTTTATGACGTTTATAAAACAAATTGATTGAGTTACATCGGAGTACTACTAAAAAATGTATCTTTTTAGAACGTGTATATGTAGGGTTTTGTGAATAGTAACCAAGAGTTGATGATTATTATTGTACTTGTAAGTTTTATATGTTGAGGTATAAAAGTTTTTTTTTAACTATTACTTTTTTCGATAAAAGTTATTTCAAAACTGTTATTTTCATAACTTTTATTTTCTAACTGGAACTATCAAAGTTTTGACCTAGGTAGTTCTTCAAAAACAATTATCTGTGAATTTGTGAATTTTAGACAGCGAACCAATTCTTACTTAAATTGTTTTGTGTTACTAAAATTTGTTATAATATTTAACATTTTCCAAATTGATTACGCCCATCCAAACGCACAAGCATTTATTTATGAATATTGTGATTTTCTGTTAATTTAATATTGTCTTGAACAATCTTAACCGTTTGAATTATAAAATATTCTATTTTAATAGTTTACACACCTGTTAACTACAATAATTTGTCTTTAGCAATTAGAAAAAGATTAAACAACATTACATTTTCAGTAAAATTTCAAATTTATTGTGAAAATCTATATTTGTTATCTACACATAACTTTATGTAGTTACCTCCAATTTATAACACATTAAAGATAACTAAATAGTATAACAAAAGAATTACTACTTTCCAATGTTTTGAATTTGTGACGTTAATTATGAGAGTTTCTTGTTGAACTGATGTAGATGTTTAAGATGATGTCTTGAGCTAGAAATAACAAAAGAAAAAACTGTAAGTATAATTTTAACACGACACATCACATTAGATACGAGAATAACTCGATAAACCTCATCAATTAACATAAAGTTTTCTGATTGTATTTTACATTAGTATAGATGTTTCAGAAAAACTTTTGGATTATAATTTACAATTGAGTGATATAATAAAAAATATTAAAAAACACCCTTTACCGCAAAAATATTGGAAAGACCGAATTTTAATTTGTTTTCATGCTCCAATTCACATAGTGTAAGTAAAATGCAAAAAGTACACGGTTTCCATATCATAAGGCTATAAGCCTTTAACTATAGTTTATTTACACTTTTTGGGCAAACAAAACAGGACTATTTATGGAGAAATACAAATTCTTACAAAATTATCCTTTTTTTTAGCTGTATCCAATATACAGCTATATCTTATTTTCCTCTTAAGAAATTTTACAAAAACAATTATTCTTAATTAACACACATATATACATAGTTCAGCAAATAATACCTACTCTACGTAATTCAAAAACTGCTTTAATGTTGTTTTATTGTTTTTTTTTTTAATGGGTCGGTGTACCTATACTTTATTTAAAAGAACAATGGCGATTATTTTAGAAATGTTGTACAATATATTCTTAAAACCAGAATTTTCAACCAGTATTTTTTCTCATAGTGTGTATAATTTTCTTTAGCTCATACGAGTTTACACAATAAAATATCATAAAAAAATGTGAACTTTTTTATTAACTAGGTATAGCTACGAATATGATACTAAATCTAGAAATAAACATTATTGACTAATGAAAGCTCAAAAGTGTCATTTATACAATATGTGTTTGCTGTTTTAAAATCTAGTCTTTGTGAATCTCATATTTCTAAAAAAATGTGCAAAACCATCAACATCCAAGGTTAACATTTGGTACTCAAATTCAAATTAACAAAATATATAAATATAGGGTCATGGCGCCCTTTTTGTAATGAACAAATATCGCTTTTTATTACTTACCATTTTTAATTGAGCTGTCGCTCTAAACCTACACCACCTATGATCTGAGGGTACACCGTAACACCGACAATAGTCATTGTTCGAAGACTCGCATACTCCTCGAGTTTGTTTGAACCACATACCGTACTGGCCACGGCATAGACCCCAACAATCATCCGGGTTGCAATAAGCGTTCACGCCGTTGAAAGCGAACGCCAAAACCAAAAAACAAACCAAAACCGCGTACTTAGAAGAATTCATGGCGACGGAACGGTGTGAGAAACGACTTTGCAATAGTAATAATAATTGTATTTACTTCGAATGACTTGCCTGCCGTACCTATGCCTATTTATATCATGTAGGTTTCTCCCGAGTCATGGATATATTTTAATTTACACGTAGATCAAGTTGACCTAAGTAACCTCATTAGACGTGCATATAGTCAGATTATCTGTCAAGGAGTGCTGACAAATGCCTACGCATTTATTTTAATTAAATAAAACCTGATGTCTTAAGTATTTCGTTTTGAAATCTTTTGCGCGTTTGCCAATAATAAATCAATACCTTTGTTTAAACAATTATTGCACGCGAGTATAAAATGTATGACGTTTATAAAAAAAATTGATTGGTTCAAAGAAAATACCAAAAAAATAAAAAACTCGCCTGGGTTAAAAAATAACCAATATTTTTTAATATGGTAAGAACACAAAATCACATTTTTTTGAAGATATGGTTAATGAACCCTTAATTAAAATTTTAACTGTGCAGGTTTCATGCCTATATCACTAATCTAAGTTGGTCGATCGACATTTTAGATTTCCATACAAACGCCAACATTATAATAACTTAAAATATCATATCATGACTGAAGATACATTCTTAGTTTCTTTTTTTGAGTATAAACGACAAATAATTTAATTAGGAAATAAGCTTGGTCCTTTCGAGTGATTGTTATGACACTACAATCTATAAAAATTGTGTTATATACAAAACATCAAGTCTGAAATATTTTGATGTTATTTTTGATGAAAATCTTATTAAATTTTAATTAAAAACGTGGTAAACGCTTATATAAAAAATATATATAAGTCAGCTTAAAATATTAAGCGAAAAACAATTAATTAGTCATGTACAATCTCTAGTTCTAAGTAACATATTCCATTAGTAAGAATGATTTTTACTATTAAATTCATTTATTTTTTTGTATTTTAAGTAAATTATATCGTTTATTTGTATGCTTAAACTTTTTTTTATAATCTACAATTTTTATAATTCAAATGTTGTTAATATTATAATCTAGATATTGAACTCACTGTTTCCTATCACAAGCTATGCATATTGAAGAGGTCAGAGGTATCATTTTGTCTCAATAGTATGATATTTTCTTAAAATGTATGTTATTAACAAGCGTAAAACTGTAAAGGAATACAAGTATCAAGTAAGTACACATGTTAAGCAAACAGCTCATTTACTGTCCATTATCTGTAAATTTTCACTTACGGAAACTGTAAATTATTTGTACATTTTTATCAGCGAACCTGTTCTTTTTTAAATTTGTTGTGTTACTAAATCACTGTTTTTTTATTATAGCAACTTCGATTGGGTTATGGCCTATAGTTGAAATCACACTGGTTACAAGAAATTAGACTAAACATATATTGTGGAAAAATTAGTTTATACTATTTTTTTGTTAAACAATTAACGTCATTCTATATCAAGAAATCTTATAGCTTATACATAGTATTGTATTGTAAAAAAATGCATTTCTATTTATTTGCTGGCAATACACAGACGTGGCCAATACGACCGTGTTTTTTTAAGTCATAGTTAAAATTAATATTTGACATTTTCCAAATTGATTACGCGAATTTAAACGTATAAGTTATTAATTATTTATGAATATTGTGCTCTTCTGTTAATTATAAAAAATTAGTCTTGAACAATTTTAACCGCTTGAATCATAAAATACTCGATTTTGACAATTTCCACACCCGTTGACTATAATAATTTGTCCTTAGTAAATAAAACAAAAGATTAAAACACATTAAACTTTTAGTAAAATGTCGAGTTTATTGTGAAAATCGTTATTTGTTATCTACACATAACTTAATTTAGTTAACTTCAATGTGTAACTCATTAAAGATAACTAAATAGTATTACAAAAAAAAATACTATATTCCAATGTTTTGAAATTGTGACATTAATTTTAATTTTTCTTGTTGAATTGACGTAGATATTTAAGAAGATGTCTTGAGCTAGAAAATACAAAAGAAAAAAACAATAAGTATAATTTACCGTTTACACGTTTCAAAAGTTGATAGCGCATTACGTAGCTATTTTTTTTATGTAGCTGTATCAAAAAAGGTACTATGCTCTAACAGTAAAATAATTAAAACATTTTAAAATTTGTTAAAAAATTAGATATATTTTAGTTTTTTTTTGTTCCAATAGGTATTTATTATTTAAATACGGTAAATAAATTTTGCATTTTTTTAAATACAGATGCATTTTTGACTCATTTTCCTTTTAAGAATTTTCGCAAAAACAATTTTTCTTAAATAACACAATTAAACACACTTATATACATAGTTCAATAAATAATACCTAGGTACTCTACGTAAATTATAAACTACAATTTAAATACATAATTTAAAAAACATTTTCCATTGGATAATTATTTAAAAAAGGTATTTTATGTATCATTGAATTACAATTAATATTATGATGGTGTTTTCAAATTTAAAAGAGAACAATGACGATTATTTAAGAAATTTTGTACGATATATTCTCAAAACCAGAATTTTCAACCAGTATTTTTTCTCATATTGTGTATAATTTTCTTTAGCTCATACGAGTTTACACAATAAAAAATTATAAAAAAATGTGAACTTTTTTGATAATTATACCTACGAATATGGTACTAAATCTAGAAATAAACATTATTGACTAATGAAAGCTCAAAAGTGTCATTTATGCAATATATGTTTGCTGTTTTATAATCTAGTCTTTGGGAATCTCATATTTCTAAAAAAATATGCAAGATCATCAACATCCATGGTTTGCATGATGTGGTAATGAAATCAAAAATAACCATATATATTTAGGATCGCAGTGGAATGAATAAATAACGTTTTTTATTACTCACCATTTTTCAATTGATCATTGACTCGACAGTCCCGGGGCGATAAAATGGTGGAACTAAGATTTTACCATAGCACCATTGTCATG